CTTTGGAGACAGATCAGACTATGTGAAACTACCAGCCGTCAAATTCCCCAGATCCCAACATGATCTAGATGAGCTGGAACGAGCCTAATTCAAAGAAGCCCCACAATCCACAGGGCCCAAAGGATCCACTGTGAACGTCTCTGTTTCAGACATCACAGGACACCCTCCCTCAGAGCTGTTTTGGAGGCACAAGGGGAACCGACGCAACATTAGACAGGTGGTTTCAACATGGGGCGGATCAGCGTAATTGCTTCTGCTCTAATGCCTACAACTGAGATGTCTACGTTCTACACTGAACGTGTGTTAAGATTTGAAAACCTCTTAGCATTAACCAAGATAAACCAGCAATATATTTGCTGCCATTTAACAACTGGAACAATGCCAAGGCCCTGTGGGAGGTGCAGCGTCTGACTGTTACAGAGTCTGGTTGCAAACAAAATAACTGCTGTTCTACATCTGGTAAAATGCAATGTGTTAGAAAATAGACAGAAAATTCCCTTTCAACATGTTACAGCTTCTTTAGAAAAAGCTGATGTAAGAAGGACCTTGACTGTGGCATCACTCAGCAAGTTGAAATGCAGAACATGAAGCATGCAAGCCGCATTAAAATTAATAGCAAATGGAGGAGAAAAATTAATGTAATAAAAGGAACAGAGAGAGGAAGAAAAACATGAATAGGAAATGGCTAGAAAAAGAAGACAGACTGGCAGGAGAAGAAGAAAAACAACATGAAGAAGTAGTCGGGGCACACAAAGCAGGCGGAGGAGGAGGAGGAGGAGGAGGAGGAGGAAGGTGGATGCGGGTGTCTGATGTATAATAAATGACCTCTGGCTGATGCCTTGGCCTTTCTGCCTCTCCCTCATTCCCTTTACATTCTCTTCCCTCCTCACAGTTGAACTCCTGTTTCATTTCCCGTTTTCTCAATCATCATTCCTGTCTTTTTTTATCTCCCTTTTCCATCAGCTCCTCCTGTCTCTCATCTGTTTTTGCCAGCTACATACAGGAAGAAGCTCCTCGCGGTGAAAATGTTGAAAAATACAATGAATTTGCGCGCTAGTCTCCTCCACTAACAGGAACCTTGTCCATTTAGAGGCCACTTTATATTCAATATGCCAAATGTCACCTGATATGACATATTCAGCAGTGAGTCTGGCTGCTATACTCTTTAACTGGGAATCTGTGTGCGTGCTCACTGGAGATTACACACTTCCTCTGTCGTCTGATAAAACGGTCCGGCGTGGAGTCTTGTGACAGTCTCCACCACATGAGATGGGCTGACGTATATTGGTTGAAGCAGTCCCTCATACTGATATGATTTTTTTTTTTCACCTTGAGACAAACCCATTACAAGATCGAATTTCTCTTCATATTAGAACTGCTGTAAAAGGTTCCAGACGTGAGAGTCAGAAGAGTTTAACCAGAGCTCCCCGTTTCTTTTCTCCCCCCAAGAAGACCAGCCCCTCTTTCTAGCTCAAATATGAGCCAGCTGTGTAGTAGAAGTAAACACCTCCTTCAAATGAAAAAAACGTGTCACCTATGTTCACCTATTTCGATTCTTTAAGCAAATAAAAGCACAAATTACGTCATAATGCTCCTAAAGTATCAGAAGCAAAACTGCTCCTGGACAGTTTAAAGACTCCCTCCAGTGAAAATAAAGTTTTTCACGTTGTTAACATGTCCATATGGGGCTTTTATATGCCAGCAGACACACCGTGAGCAACAATAAGCAGGCATAGCTGAGCATTTCTGCCTTGAAACTGCAGCACACCGATCACCGTCTTCAAAACCTACGGTAAGGGTTTCATCTGTGACAAACCTAAAGAAACAATCCTGCCAACTCTTCTGCAGAATGGAAGAATAAACATGTATGGCTGACTTACGCCGACATTTGAACTGTTGTGTAGTGTAGAGTAGTTAAACAGTGTTGGAGCAGAGCTGTAGGTGAGCTGGTGTGCTCGACTGCAGCGAGAGGGGAGGGGCGAGTGTAGAAAGAAACAGCATTGTAGAGTTATAAGTATTTTAAGGTAGGGATTTTAAGGAAGGTATTATTTTTATTGCAAAACATCTAAATATATAACTGATATACAGATGAGTTTGGGGGGTTTATTAAATGACCAAAGAGGGACTATAAGTAGCAGGAACTACTCTGACAGATGTAGAGGAGTAACAAATACCAAGATTATTTGACGTATAAAGTAGCATGAAACAGATCTACGCACAAGCACAAAAGAACAATTGAAGCTAAAGTTTGACATTTGAAAATGGTCCACTTGGGTGCACTTTCTGGCAGGGATCTAGATGAGAAGATCGGGGCTGAAACAGACACTTGTCACTGTTTGATCTGATAAGTTGAGCTTATTAGCCAATAGCTGTCTTTGTGCAGCAAACGCACAGCAACAGCATTTATTTGGAGTCACTGTTCATCTGGCATTTCAAGTCACTCTTCTTTTGGGCTCTGCAAACTCCTGAGGGAAATCATGTATCTGGCCCATAGCTGCTAGATGATAGATCATTATATTTTCTGTGCAGGTGAGATGTTAGCCAGAGTTTTTTTTTTTTTTGATGGAAACCAAAGTGCGGGGAGAAATGTCAATAAGAGCAGAGAGAGAGTGAACCGAACGATGCTATAATCAGCTTCTAATTTGGTTTTCTGTGTGACCCCTTTGACATTAGACTGGCCTTGTGATCCAAGGCAAACATGAAAATAAGAATTAACTCTAAGTTAGGCCTCCTTTCCATGCTTCCCATATGTTCCACGCTGCATGCACTCACTGTACAGTACATTAATGTGTACCTAGGGTTTCCACTCAGGGCTACAGACAGTTCCTGTGCTGCAGAGTATGACAGATGGCCGCTTACTGACAGATGCATCAGCTCAGGACCGTCGTCCTCCGGAGCCAGTCAGCCAGCCAACCACGAGCTGCCGGTTAGCTCAGTGCACTAAGCCGATCTGTTGCCCCGGCAACTGCTATTTCGGCTCCACCTTAGCTTGAACACACTGCAGTGTCAGATAGAATATTGGTAGGACACCTTGAACAAAGCTCAAAGGTTGCACATCTTATTTTTCTAGTCACACACAAACCATGCAGTTTTATCTCCTCTCCTCTGTCACTCTCCTTTGAAATATCTCTGGAGCTCTTCTCCCTCTTTTCCTTCTCTGTTTCATCCTACTTCTTGTTGCTGTGGATGTTTTGCTCAGCAGAGATGTAGAGGAGGAGGAGGAGGAGGAGGAGGAGGAGGAGGAGGGGAGGCACAACCCCTGTTGGTGAAGCAGCGGCTTGGAAACTCATCTGGTAGTAATAAGGGTTCCACATCGCTACTGTGACTCATGCCTGCGCACACCCACCGGACTATTACAGGCTTATTTAGTACGTACGGTCATTAGAGTCCGAGCCGAGCTGCACAGCAAACCTGTGGTGCACCATTACGACCACACAAATACAGCCCAAGAAGAAAATACACCTTTACGCAAAAAAATGGGACATGAAACATCAATTTAAGATGCCACAAAATGCACTCCATAGGCTACTGTAAGCTATAATCACAGAGGGCTTTGTTTTGGGGGATTACTGAGACTAAATTAATCACTTCCGGCAGTATGTCAGGGGTAAAGCTCCTGTTTGGAGAGAGCTGGCGAGGAATCACTGAACTGCTCCCAAATGTTCATTAGAGGTTAAAGGTACTACAAGTTAATCTGTGTGTTCCCGCTCACTGTTTTCGCACTACAAGTCTTGGATTACGAGTTTAAAATGGTAAAAAGGTGTCGATTTGGTTTGATCTATTCTCAGGATATTTGTTAAATACCAGACAAGAAAACTCCATCATTGTTCCTCTAAACGTCCCTGACATTAAAAAAAACAGATGACAGAAAACATTTCTAACCAGACTATTTAAATTGCGGCCTTGCAGTCTGAAATAAATCACAACGAGGACGAGGTAAATGAGCATTCCAGAGAATCGGAGCCTCAGTGTTTGTCACGCCAGCAGCTTAAGATCATCCGAGGCCCTGGTGCAAACTGCCTCCTTTTAACGGTATACGAGAACCGGTTTTTAATATTGGCTGCTGACTTCTAATATAAAAGTACAATTCCCAGTTTTAGCTGTTACATTTTGAAAACCATCTGATGAATTTCAAGATGCTGCTGATGGTCCTATAAAGGAATTATAAGTCATGAAGGAGTAGTCTTGGTTTCATCTGCAACCTTGTATGATTTTGGAGAAAGAAGAAGCAAACACTGGTGGACGCCCACATATTTACTTCTGTTACATCAAGAAACATATCACTTCCTCTCTATGGTTTCTTGCCTGCAGTCTTATCTTGACAGAACAGAGCAGTGCCATGAAGATGAAGGCAGAGTCAGTACTGTGAAGCCCCAAGGCCCTCTGAGGAACATCATGCATGTGTAGCCCTACCAGGACCTACTGCTTCATCTATTATTCAGACTTTCTCTCCTTTTGATGTGTGAACACTGTTTCCTGATATGTTGGGATCAGCAAATTGCAACATACATCAATGTTAAGCTGGAAATACTAATTCCAACCGCAGCCCAATGAGCCGTGGCATGATTCACCAGCCTTTGGGATGTTTTCTCAGAATCACGACTCAGGATACGCACGCAGAGATCCTTATCAACCAGCAAAATGGCGGCTTTGCGTGGCTGATCCCACAATCTATCATCTAGATTCCCTCTGAAGTGATGCAGCAGGCCCTTGCGCTCGCCGTTTCTTTTTTTTTTTTTTTTACGCGCAGCACGACACACCTGCGCTCCTGCTCTGCTGCGTTTTTATTCTGAGGCACCATCAGCCGCACAGGTCACTGCTGTTTAACCCGCGCACGAAATAAGGGCATCACCAAGTTGCTAATGCGCAATAGTGCGTGATGTGTTTGTGTTATCACAGCGTGTGATGATGGGCTCCAACCGCGGAGGAAACAAAAGGGGGGCAGCGGGACGTTCATTCACCGCAGTGTGCAGCGGACTGTGTGTGTGCGTAAAACTGACCAGGTTCGTGCGTCCCGGGGTTGTCGGACATCTCCAGCACCAGCAGCTCGCGGCCCTCGAAGCTCTCCCCGATGGTGTAGATGCGGGTGATGGTCGGACACTGCAGCCACACCGACACCAGCGCCTTCCGCAGCTCCTCGTAGCGGTGGTACTCGAAGGAGATCTCCCCGTCGGCACCGGCCGCGCTGGCCAGAGCGACCACCGCGGCCCCGAACAAAAGTACCGAAAGGAACTGTTTCATTTTTGACGCGTCCTCGTTTCCCTGAAGCCCTGTCTGCCTGTGGCTTGGTCCCAAGCCTTATCTCTGTGCTGCAGCCTCGCTTTAGGCTATAAATATCTCTCCCTCTGCTTCTCTCTCTCTCCTCTCCCTCTGAGTGAGATGCGCTGCTGTACCTGAGCGCAGACTCCCCGTCAGCCTCTGCGTTAAAGTTAGCCACAACGTCCTCACACCCGGGGAACATTTTTCAAAATAAAGGCAGCACAGCGCTTATTCAGGCAAAATTTCTGTACATGGCTAAGCTTACTTCATGCACATTGGAAAATTCAGCATGTTTCAGCCTATAGACAGACAAGAAATGAGAGAAAAGACATGAGCCGGAAGAAGCTATCCAGAGCAAAATGCACATAAAAAAATGTGAAAAGCAAAGAACATGACAGACATAAGTGAAAGGCAACACTAAAATCAAAAGCTGTTAAAGTCTGTGCACATCCAAAGCCTTCATACAGGCTACTCCAGCATCTGAAAGCACAAAAACAGATAAGATAGATAAATAGAGCTGCAGATTTTGTTGACTTTGGACTCATCTTTGATGCACTAAGAACACAAGAGTCAGAGGTCTGAGCTGTGCTGTGAATGCTGGAGTCACTCCATGCAGAGCTTTATAGAGCAATAAAAAAGTAAAGAGAGTCTTGTGGACAGGTGGAATTTTGTTGAGACTGAGCAATAAAAGTCTTACTGCAGCTTCTGCCCAGTCTGAAGCTGCCCAGAGAGAAGTTGTTGTCCTGCAGAAAGCTGATATGTTTGAATGTTGCCTTTCATTTCACTTCAGTTTTTACTGTGATTCAGAAACATTGATCACAACTTGTTCAATACCTGAATAATCATGTCAGTAATTTATCAAGGAAAGTACCCCAAGTTACTTGATGGCAGTTTTGCAAATGTGAGGATTTGCTGCCTTTTGGATTTTTATTTTTTTTCACTTTGTAGTTAATTTCACAAAACAAGCAAGTTGAAATTATGATCTTGGGAGTGAGAAAAACAACAACTTTTTTTCCACCATTTTCTAAAACAGCTGCACATTTTATGCTTTCCAGAACACTAACTTATCTATAATTCATCTGTGATGGTCACACTCGCATCCAATAGCAGGAATGTCGGTAACCCCAGTCACCACTTTAGTTTAAGTTGAAACACTTAACATTCATATTGCACATCCAAAAACACATCAAAAAAAAAAACTTCTGCAGCTGCAGTCATCTGGCTGGATTCAGGCAGCAGGCTTTTATACTAGAGCTGCCAATCAGACCATACCAAGTGTCTGCCACTTCAAAGGGGGGGCTGGGTTTATTTGATTTAAATTTTACTTTTATTCATTTGATTTGTGTCTGGTAATTTGATGAATTTTGGGTTTGTTTATGACTATTATTATTCTGATTAAGTAGACCATTTGTACTATTTTGAGCTTTTTGTGGTTACTTTAGGTGTAGGTGTTTAAGGTTCCCCCCATCATGTGCAACTGGCCTGATCAGCCAGTGTATATATATACATACATATATATATATACCCAGTTGTGAGGCCTGTTAAGATCAGTGTAGTTGGGTTGTGCTGTTATTTTGCTGCTGATAGCCTCAGTTAAGTTCTGTTCTTTTGACTTCTTTTATGGGCTACATTCGTATTGGTTTTTGTAACTTTATCATTTTTAGGTGAAATTAAAACCCTACTTTTGAATTAACCTGCGAGTCATCATGTTTTGTCCCTCACAACATTCATGTTGGTAAAATGTAATTAAACCTGGAGTGACACTGAAGTGAAGAATATAATCATTAAGAATCCATAAATGATTTTATTCATTAATTCATATCAAGATGTGCTTGTCCATTTCTGAGGTTTTGACAGTAATAAGTCCATCACTTAACTGAAGATGGCAGTAATGACTGCATGAAGATTTTGGAAGCACCTTGCAGCCCCACCACCAAATCAATGAAAATTAGTTCAACTAATATGTCAATAAATTAAATAAGATCAGTCTTTACAAGATCAGCACACATCAAACGAGCTACTAATTGGTGTCTGCGTGTATTTAGGAGTGTCTGTGTTGAACTGTATGCCTGTCTAGTGAGGGGGATGTCTGCAGCTCCTTCGCACTTTTATTTAGTCATTCAATGTTTTTCCAAGCCAGGCTTCATCAATAGCTGCCTCTCTTCCTGTTTGGCCTGTGCTGCTGCTCGCTGACTTGACACTGCTGTGTGTTTGGATGGAGCTGGAGGGGTGTGTCCACAGTGCAGCAGAAGGGGTATTGGAGAACATATACTCCTAATATATCCCACTTCCCCATCAGCCCACCATAGCGTGTCCACACAATAAATAAAAAAATAAACCTACTAAGCAGATTTAGATTGTGGTGTTAATTTTTAATATGAATCCCACACTGTTGTTAATGTTCAATAATAAAGGAAATCTTTTTAATTCAGAGGCACACATCAGGATCCCGTCTGACAAACTCACAACCAAACCCGTGTTAAAATTTTAGAACATATTTTATTCTTACATGACAAAACAGAAAGAAAAAAAAACAGAACATCATCAAGGTTTCCTTTTGTAAAAATGAAAACAGCATTTAATCATTGTTACAGCCATAAACAACATGAGCTTTAACAACCTAGAGTATGAGCCAATTCCCTTTCATCAAAACTTTACATGGGTTTGCATCAAACATGCCTGACTTGTTTCAGAAGTCGGCGCTGCGTTTAGACAGTTTCCACTGAGCTGCATCTTCGACCGCAGGACGTAAAGACTGTGTCACTGTGACTCAGATCAACTCAAGAGGAAGTGCTAAAGTGCTGAGAGATTCGGAGATACACAGAAGCATTTCACAAGACGGTACGGCGTTCTTCATCTGATGACAAGCAAAGTGATAAATCAAAATGAGAATGTTGATGGTTTTTTTATTCAGCAGCTGTTGACAAAAGCAAACAGTACTTCTTTTCTATCGAAAGGCACAGAGGGCGGACTGAAGTCAACATGCAGTCCGATTCAGAATCACAGCTGATTGGTTTTTCATACACCTTTGACGTGTACGTGAGTTTCATGAAGTGTTCAGAGAGGATCAGCGGCACTGTTTGTGTGCTCGCTGAGTGTCTTTACGACTCGCTGCTTCTTGTCTCCTCCTGACAGAACAGGTGTGTGTTAATATGAACATGAGGACCGAGTGGTTTACTGCTCCTTCTTGTCTCCCTGCTTGTGCATGTACTTGTTGTACTGGTTGTCTGTGTTCAGCAGCTTGTCCCACCAGGTGAAGGTGGAGGCGTAGTTCCCCACAAAGTTCATGTGGTGGAAGTCGTGGAAGCGGGCGCCGGCGTAGAACGGGATCAGGTGGAGCGGGTTCAGAGGGATGTCGTAGCCACTGATGGGGAAGAAGGAAGGAATAAAGAGAACACATTTTGTTTATTAGAAAAATATATAGTTTAAATTATAACAAGCATCTCAAGACAAATGCTTTTCAGACAGGGAGAGGAAAAATAATCAACAGAATGATTTTGTAGAGGTGATACTGAGGAAATAATGGATTGACTTTGTTTCTGTCCCCAAGTTGATGCCTTCTACTTACAATAAGGTTATAAAATGTGCCCAGAAAACATTTGCACTTGGTGACTTAGGCCTCTTGCATTTAATTCAATTCAAATAAATTTATTTATCTCCTCGGGGCAATTCAAAAGCTTACTATTTGCTTTTTTAAATTTACTTTTCATACTATCACAGTTTCATTTTTGAGGTGAGTTTTTGCTTTATTGTACGGGAAAGATGTGACAAAAGGCAAGCAAAGCCAAATGATCACAAGAAATATATGTAAATCAAGATCACAAGTGGAAAAAAATAATATTGTAAAATTATATTGCTGTGCAGTATTTCTTTCTGTACATTTGACCTCTCTCTCTCATTTTATGTATTGTTCTACATTTTGTGACTTTGACTTGCATGTTAGACGCTTAAAGGATTCTATTGTTAATCTCATAAAAGACTTTGCTTTTGCATAAAATAACATAAAACAATAAATAACAACATGATATTTTGAGAGATTTATAAAGGCAGGTTGCAAAGTTATTCATCAAAACAGCTCATATCAGAGAAAAATAAACAGAAATAAAGCTGAATTAAAAATATAAAAGATGAAAAGCCTTCCTGATGAATATATACTAGTGTCTCTGAGCCTTATATTAGGGGTCATCCACGTTCTTTATGCTGTATATGTATGTAAATGTTCAGCGCATGTTCTTTAATTGAATTTTCTATTGTCAATTCGTTTTATGGGCTGCAAGGTGGATCGGTGGTTAGCACCGTTGCCTCATAGCAAGAAGGTTGCCACTTCGCATCCCTGTGAGGACACCCGGGATCTTTCTGCTCCCACAGTCCAAAAACATGTTGAGGTTAATTGGTGATTCTAAATTGTCTGTAGGTGTGAATGTGAGTGTGCTTGGTTGTTTGTCTCCGAGTGTACCCCTGTGACAGCCCTGACTTCACCCTAAGTCAGCTGGGATAGACTCCAGCCCCCCGCAACCCTAGTGAGGATTAAGCGGTGTATGGATTTTATTGAGAATCATTGTAAACAATCTTTGTGGTTAACCTTGTCTATGGCGCTTTTAGGGCTGCATCTTTGCATAAAACGTGACATACAAATCAAGTTTTTACTACAATTTAAAAAAAATAAATAAATAAATAAATTATAGACCGACAGAAAAAGTCACATATATAATATTAACATGTAATTATATAACATATACTGGAACATAAATGTGTGGCAGTGAGCCTGTATTGAGAAAACTGTAACATCTGGTGTTCTCTGTGGCCCTCTAGTGGTCAAGTTACTGTCACAGAGTTAACGGATTTGAAGTGTGCAGTTTCACATGTAACTACTGTTCCACTTCCTAGTGCACAGTGATGTAGCTGCAGTTCTTAAATCCTTATAATAAATGTGTGCAAAAGCCCAACATTTTGTTTTCTTTTCTCTTTCAAACACAGATTTATTTCTAAGAGATCCAGCTTACTGAGGAGACACATAAGAAAGTGTGGGCACATGTACATGGAGGCTGTGATTGTGTCCCACCTGTGCACATCAATGGTCTCCAGCAGACGGAAGGCCACCCAGGCCCAGAGGAGGAACACGTGGTTACAGAAGATCATGATGCCGATGAAGAAGCCTGCACCCAGGATGATAGTCTCGGCGGGATGAGCGTATTCTGCCTGCATCCCGAATGGAGACTGAGGGACAGCAGAGACGCACGATGTGTGTTTGCACTCAATGAACAGCGGCTTGTTTAATGAGTAGCTCTTCAGTAAAGACACTAACCAGGAAGCCAGGTGTTTGTGTTTATTTTTCTTATCACTTGTGTGCTTTACTCACAGTGAACTCGTGGTGGACTTTGTGGATGTATTTGTAGATTCGTCTGTGATGCAGCAGGCGATGGAGGAAGTAGTGCCACGTGTCCTCGACAACAGCGCAGCCGAAGCACTGAGCCAGGAGGTACGTCCTGGAGGGGGAGACCAGGAGAGAGGGTCAGCAACAAAATATTACACACCGAATTATCCCAGCTGAAAGATCTGAATGAAGGAACCTTTTGAAGGCTCAAAGACCAAACAGTTGTATATGTAACAAAACACCATTCAGGTCTAAATTCCTGATCAATTCAGACATGGATTGATGACTTGTGACCAGATAGCTCAAGGTGAGATTTCAGCAAGAGATAAATAAAAAAGGAAATTGGAAGTAAAAACGAACAAACCTAGTTGTTTAGCTGCTTTTTGTGCAGGCAATGTTTTGTTTTTTAACTGCAATGCACACCAATTACTTATTTTTCCTGTGCTTTTATATCAAGTTACTGTGTTGTAATACATACCAATGATGGGAAAATGTTCTTATGAATATCACAGTATTGATTCCAACCATATTTTCCAGGCCTACGCATTTAATTCAACTAGAAGGGCACTCTGAGAGCATATCTGCCAAGGCCAATGCCCTGCGTGGGAATTTTAATAAAAGTGCTTCAGATCTGCACCAAAATTTAATGGGTTCTTCTTGTACCCATTAACCACCTCTGCACCAAGTTTCATGAGATTTGTGCTGATCATTTTTGGTAATCTTGCTGCTAAACACACGGCACCGATCACATACGTACATCGAACCAAAGTGTTTAACTGCTTCATCAGCGTCTGTCTATCTGGCGTATGATATATGTGTCATTTCTTTATTTATCAACAAGAAGAATGACTGCAAGTATTGAATGCAAAAATGTTTTGCATGTTTTACATTTGAGGCTGATTCATTTCCATTCCAAAGCAAACTGATTAAAGCATTTATAGGGTCTGTTTAGAGATAGTTGCTACAGAAGTGTCATACCATTATTTTAAAGTTATACAGAACTACACTATGAAAGAAAGACCACACACTCATGTCATCATCACAGTTATCACAGACACGGATTTAACATTTAACCTGCTACTTTGCTAGAAAAGCAAAACCACTGTTGTCAAGCCCAGTGGCTGTATTTTGCATTCACACCCTCATCTACTTGACTCTTTATCGAGATAATTTTTATGATTAACATTTAAGAGTGTTTTATTGTTCTTCCACTCACCAGCGTGGCATAGAGTCCCAGTCATAGGGGATGTTGAAGAATTCGGTGAAGTAGTAAGTCCCGCAGATCAAAGGCAGCTGGATGCAAAAGTGGTTGAACAGCAACATCTTGAAACATCTCCACTGTTTCTCCCAGGTCTCTGGCTTGTCCTGAAAACAAGCACAATCATTTAGAGAAAATTTCCTTCAAACTAAATAATCAAAACCATATCCAACAAACAAAAACACACACAAACCTGCTGGATCTTGTATTTCTGCATGAAGGGCATGAACTGGAAGACAAAACCAGGCAGGCAGAATAGGAAGTAGATGAACTCATGGACGATTAGCGACCCCCAGGTTGCAATTTGAAACTTGGTGTAGTTGTCCAGCATGTAGCCCCAGGCGTGTTTCAGCGAGGGCTGGAACGGGTTTTCAGGCAGCACTGCATCTACGTACTCCACCGCAAGATAGGCAGAGCTCAAGATGTCTGCTGTGCCGTTCGTTGCCATGATGGATGATGGGAAGTGGGTGCAGGTCTGGAGAGAAGACTGGAAGACAGGGACACAGTTTTATATACACAGTTCCTCAGTGTAAATTTAGACATAATTCAAGAACATATATGATACCTGTTCACATGTAGTCATGTTACTGTGTCTCTGTCATGATGCCCCAGCCTCAGCCCCAGCCTTTGCCTGTCTCCCTCTCTTCTCCCTCCTCTCGACCTCTCTTTCTCCTCCTTGCTCACCCTCTGTCACTCCAGCCATGCTCAGCCTGTCTGATTGCAGCTTTTGGAGACAGCAGTGGAGATCGGCTCACCTCCACTCAATCTTCCACCTCCTGCAATAAAAGCCCTGCTCATTCCTCCACACCCTGCCAGACCATAGACGTTCATCCCTAGTGTTTCTGCCGGTCCTGCTCGGTCTCCAGCTTGCCTTCCTGCTTTTCCTGAGCTGCTGCCACCTGGACCCCCCTGCAACTCATACCTGCCACCAGCTCTGCTCCTGCTTTTCCCCAGCTCTCACCTGAGCCCGGATTCCCCGAGCCTGTCTGCCCCCCTCAGTTTAGTCCCCTTTTCTGTGAGTATCCCTGTTTTTGTTGTTTTTAGCTTAGCTTTACACTTAGCAGTTTTCCTTAGTTTCACTTTTAGCATGTTTAGAGTTTTTCTGAGGTTTCTTGTAGTTTCTTCCATTTCTGAATTAGGTCTGGTTTACCCCACTCTGTTTTCCACCCTCAGTTTAGTTCACGCCTCAGTATTTGTTTCTGTTTATTCTTTCATTTAATAAATTAAACAGTCCTTAATACTATATGACAGAAGAATTACATATATTAAAAAAAAACAACAACAAAGCTGAGAATTCATATTAACACTAACTATTAAAAAATACCAAAGAAAAACACGATTAAAATGTCTAACTCACAGAAATCAAACTCATTACAAATACTTTACGTGTACTTATGACTATCAAAAGGCAAGAATTAAGAGGAAAATGTTTTTCTTGGCAATGCTGGTCTATAAAAGCAGTAATTACAAAGATTAAAATCTAATTTCCTGCCTTTAAAAAATGTAATTTAATGTAGTGAAACTGTTATCAGAATAGTTTTAAGATTAAAAACTGCTCAAAATATAACAGGGTATCATAAATTATAAGTCGATATGTTTAGAATAAACATTATTCTGCAATGTGACTACAGATTGAGTATAAATATATCAAAAAACACAATTACTTTTTCGCATTTGAGTACATTCAGTTCCTCATTACCGTGAATTAAAAGGGATAATACTGTTAAACATGCAATAAATAATTAAAATTAAAGACAATCAATCACTATTGTTGTACAATATGGACTGATTATAATTTTACCAGAAATGTATGGCTCTTTGCTCTTTTTTAAACCACATAACACTGGAACCTATTAAAATGACAACGTTATTTTTGTTGTTGTGCAATTATGCATTTTATTAACAATAACGACAATTAAAAACACCATACAGTCCTGCAGGGTGACACTAATTACAGACTTGGTGTGCAAGTGTTTATACGGTTTAATATTACACTGTGATTCACGCTAGCAGCTGCCAAAACTTAATATTATCTAATACGGTGGCAGCTAAAACACTTCAAAGCCGAAAAAAAGGTTGCTGCTGTGCTTACACTCTCCAACAGGCCAAGTCAAGTGTTCAATAATTTAAAAACCGACAGACAACACAAACAGAACACGGGCCTAAATATCATTTCCGGGAGATTTCCGAACTTGTAGCTCGATATACTGCGTCCCGTCGTGTTCATACGCCTCAATAACGAATACATATTTGGTATTGCAGCTAAAAATTCAGCTAAAGATCCAGATTGGAGCCCACAACAACTGGAAACACTCACCTTGCCGAGGTTCGTCCCGTCTACCTGAGCGCGAGGCGGACGGCCGGGTCAAGTAAAGGAATTTGGTGCGATCTGATTGGCCGAGAGGAGAGGAGACTGACGTCGAGGGGCCGAGCGGCTTCGCTGATTGGTCCGCGGGATGGAGTGATGATAGTGAGACTGGAGGTTTCTACAGCAACAGCCAATCAGAGGGGCACTCTGCTTTCATAACCTGAGCAGAGTTGACAGGCTGTTTGAGGGCAGGAATGGGGTGGTCCGTCCGGAGAACTTTGAGTCACACATGTGGATCTTTGGTCTTAATTTACATTTTATCAGATTCCTATGCATGTTTTGCCTTTGGAAATGTCGAAGACACTGTGAAAGAAATATTGCGGCAAGAAGTTTACCAAACTTTACCATACCTAAATTTACCTTAAAATTGTATTTTTGCACTCAAATGAAGCAGAATCTATCTTATCTATCCATCTGTCTGTTTGTCTGTCTGCATAAATGCTTGTTGTTGTGACTGCACAGCTCAGTATCCATTGAAAATTGTCAGGGATCTGAAAATAATAATTAAAATAAAAACAACACTTTAAAATACCTTACCATGAGCAAAATCTACATTAATTTACATAATTTCAGCTGTGGAAGAAGTATGGAAATCATTATTTAAACAAAATTAGCGGTACTAAACTGTATGAGTCCAACATCTGAAGGAAAATGAGTATGATCAAAACAAACTTTAGGCATAACAGATCTATTACGACATGCCATCATATTGACGCAATAAGAAAAGCAAGATTTTAATGTTATAGCTGAGTAAGAAAAATCTCAGTTTAACTATTTATAATTTTAGCTGGGTTAAGCTATTGCAGTGAGTCCCTAACAAGGCGTGCAAATGCCCCAGGGGTATTTCTGCAGTAACCTGTTAGAAAAGCCGAAATTACCATTTAATTAAAGAATTGAATGAGCCATAACAGCTTTGAGCAAAAAGTTAACAGTTAATTAAGAGGAATGGGTAAGCAGCAGAACTAAAAGATCAAAATGAATGTAGAAATGTTTAAAATAGATAAGTAATGGTGAAACTGTGATTACAGGGTTGAAATTGTTACCTAGAGGTATGGCTAAAAGTTAAAAATGTTAGCTGATATAATGAGTAAACAGCTAAAACTCAATTATTATGGATGAACGAATGGGATAGTCAGCTGAATGTAATGGACAGATGAAAGCCAATAGGAGTCAAAAGTTTGCTAAAAGTAGCTAAAGAGTTAAACGAGTTAACTAAAATTATGGATATTGTTGAGGCGTGTCCATTTTTTGAGACAGAAGATGAAAAACTTCTCTCATTTAACATTATTTATTCTGTAATGTGATATTGTACTTGGCCAGGGATCCAACACTGGCTCCTAAAATCACAGTCAGCAAGCTGTTAATCTGTAACCAACTTCCCTGGCAATGGATGGAACACCATGTAAACATTTCATCCAGTGTGGTGTAAGGTGATTGGCTACTAAACACAGACATTTAATTTAAACATGATCCACATCCGCGCCCTGTAAAGGAAAACCTCCCTACAAACATCTCCCGCTCCCTGGATGTCAATACTTTTCTTTTGTTTAGCTGCTATATGCTGCAGCTGCTGCAGGGGGGTGGTATGCCTAGGTACTGCTAGGCATCATTGTCTGTGCACATTGTGCGTATGTGATCAGTTGCATTCCTTCTATCTGACCTGACTTAACCTCCCTGAGTTCATCCCTCAAGGCCTGCTTGAATCCTTCTTTCCCTTTCTTCAGATCAGCACAACTCATACATTAATACACATTAAATGGTGTTAGTGTGAATACTGAACTATCAGTACTTTTACAAAATTTTATATTCCAACAATATAGAACGGGAAATTGTTTGCCAACAGAGTGGATTGACAGCTGAAAGCTGTAAATAATGGAGGATACGTTGCTTTATCCTCTGTAGGGTTGCAGAGGGCCTGGAGCCTGAGGGTGAAGGCAGCGGACACCTGGACAGGTCACCAGTCCATCACTGAGCTACACATGGAGACAGACGAGCACACTCATTCACACCTATGTACAATTTTGAATCACCAGTTAACTCAGCATGTTTTTGGATTGTGGGAGGAAGCTGGAGAATCGAGAGAAAGAAAGATACCAGGCTAAGATTCGAACCCAGGACCTTCGAGCTGCAAGGCGACAGTGCTAGCCACTTATAAAAACCTTCTAACCTTATAAAAATGAACTGTTAAATAAGTTCAATGAGCACATAGCAGGTGGAGTGGACGTCAGGGTTGTGGAGTCCATCTGACAGGCCTGTGGCAGTATGGCAGATCAAAAACTTTGGGAACCACTGATCTAATGCCTTATATTCTATTTTATTGAAAGAGAATTAAGAGATTTATTATAGGTCTTCTGGAAATATATGAAAATCTGCTGGGTCCAAAAACACATACAGCAATGCTAATATTGGGTTAAATGTCCCTTGGCCATTGTCACCTCAACTAGTAACTTCTGGTTGTATCTTTGACCACTCCTCTGGACAGAATTTGTACAGTCAAATTAAATGTGTTGGCTTTCTGACACAGACTTGTTTCTTTATCACAGTCCAAAGGTTCCTGATAGGGTTTAATTCAAGATTTTATGAAGTCTCAAATCTTAGTTGTAGCCTGATTTTGATGTGTTTGGGGTCATTGTCTTGTTTGAACACCCAACTGCGTCCAAAACCCGACCTTCTGTCTGATGATTTTAGGTTCTCCTGAAGAATGTGGTGGTAATCCTCCTCCTTCATTATTCCATTGCCTTTGTGTAAAGCATCAGCTCTGCTGGCAGCAAAATAGCCCCAGAGCATAAGGCTACTACCACCATGCTTGATGGTAGGTCTGGTGTTCTTGGGTTAGGGTTAGGGTTAAAGAACACTGCTCTAAACATTATTTCTGGTCATTGTGGCCAAATAGCAAATGTATTTTTTGTGTCAGCTGAGCACAGAACTTTTCCTCCTCTTTGTTGATGTGATGAGCAGCACACTTCAGTCAGGCCTAAAGGTTCTGCTTCTTGAGGAAGGGCTTCCTTCTTGCACAGCACCCTCTCAGCCCATGGCGATGTAGAACAAACTTGACTGTGGACACGGACACCAGTGTTCTAGCAGCTTCCAATTTATTGCAGACCTGCTTTTCAGGAATTATTGGTTGACTCTTGACCAGTTGTCACTCAGCAGCAGGTAGTAGTTTGTGTTTTCTTCCTGATCGTGGCAGTAACACAACTGTGCCACGCACTTTATACTTACAAACCATTGTTTGCACTGTTTATTTTAGATTCTCAGGTGTCGTTGAAATGGTTCCAAGTGACTTTCCTGACTTGTTCCAGTCAGTGATTTGCTATTGAAGAGTTAAGTTGCAAAAACAGATAACTCCATCTTCACAAACCTTCAGAAAACCCACTTTTCCATCGTGTACCTGGGACAATATCAAACTTAAGTTATTTCTATTTTTGTCATGTCATTTCTACTGAGTCAAATCCACTCAACTTCAGTTTGATTGATATTATCTCAAGCAAACAACAAAAAAAGAAGTTTTCTGAAAATCTACAAAAATGGAGTTATATGTTTGAAGTCTTCTACTTTGGATCTTTGCTGAGCTTATTAGACTTTCCCATTGTAGTGTTTGTGGCAGAATCTAATGATGGTATGAAACGGGCCCTATTCAAATTGGTTCTGAGGAGTCAACAGCTGTTAATCACTCACAAGAAGAGAAGGAGTCATGACATTAAGAAAATCTGATTAACAGCTTTGTGCATAAAAAATTGATCATTCGAGTCGCTGTATGTATATTTTTGAGCTGATTTTGTCATTTTTTCAGAAGACCTATAATACATACTTAAATACATAAATTGTACATTATAAGCAAATAATAAATGGGAAACAACCAAAATGCATTACTGCTTTTTTCGTGACAAAGATGCACTTGTTTCAATGATTCCATCATATGTAATGAAGACCTGTAGAAGCTATTGGAACTCAAGAATGCTGTAATATACAAGTGTATGTACATTTTTGCTCAGAACTGCAATATAAAGTAGCAAAAAGTGGAATTTCTTCAGCCACCTGAGTTTGGAAGTACACCTGACTAAATGTAATTTCTTACTTTTTTCATCCAAAAAAATCAGAAGTTTTCAAATGTTAAATATCTAAACACAGACAAAATGACACAAAATTTCCATGTCTAAAATGTGAGTTTACATTTGAAATTGTCAGTTAAAGTAGCCTAAGCAAACAAGTGATGTGCAAATGTGGAAATATAGTCAGTATCAAAAGCCTGTCAGGGTTAAAAACCCAACTAATGGTAAAGTTTTATAGAATAATAAATGAGTGACAGTAAAATTATTAAAACATCACACACAGCACATTCAATTTCAATGTTTTACTGATTTGGCAAAGTTTTAAAAATGGATTATATCATTTCACAGCTTTAAATACAAGAAGCATATTTATTAATGATAATATAAAACAAGTAATGAAACATTTTCAAAGTCATTAGCCTACATGACATTCCTCAATACACTGACAAGAAACAGCGATACCAGTTACTATTATAGCAAGTTTCAATATAGTAGGAGAGGCAAGAGAAAGAGACTGAAAAAACAGAAACTCAAGAGTAGGTTTGGTCACTTTCCAGATAGAGAGAACAGATTAGTAAAGTAGCGTAATAAAGAGAGACAGAAAAAGAAGAGACATATTAAAATTGGCACATTCATAGTACGTCAGGGTGTGCAGTAGTTAACAGGGTTGCTACACCAAAGGAGAGGAAGGTACTGTTGAAGGATAGCAGGTTGGAGACAGGGACCATGCAATGAGTTCAGGCTGCTGCTGCTGCTGTCATCAGTGGATACAACCACAGTAAGTGTGGCTGCCAGGTGACAGTAAAGCACTGATACATCCAACTGTTTTTCATCTCAAACAGCTTCTCCCTCTGTCTGTCACTGTTTTTTTTGGCAACGTGAATGATGCTTCTCCCTCACCAGAAGAGTTAGTATCCCAACGAGTCTGTTTTCTCAGAGATAAATGTACATTATCGTGTTTCTGAAACCGCTTCTCGCGTCATTATTCTGAACTAACGCGGGCTAATGCAACCGTCATACCGATCTGAAGTCAAAATGTATTTCTTTATCCCAGAACAGCAGCCGAGTCCAGCTGTCCTCTGTCCAGTAACAGTACTCAAGGCATAACAAAAGGAGTAGAGGAGGGAAGCGGGGATGACATTCAGGCACTCTTGAGCAGCCACACTGCAACACTGTAAGAGGTCAGAGGTCAGACAGAGTGCGATGACGCGGCGTCGAGCCGGGCGCCGCCGCCACACAGATGAAACACAAACACACATGCTCACAAGCAACGGAGCACCTTTATATGCCAGCACGCACACACAGACACACAAACACACACTTCTCAGGAGGATAAAAACGAAGGAGAAACTAATTTCAGTCCCAAATGGTCCTTCTCTGCCTTCCTCTCCCGTAGATTAGATGAGTGGTCTCTCTCAGAGTTGGTTCATGTTAACATTACTAATGTTAAAGTAACTTTGCAGTTATAGTAGCTTCATATCAGTAGCGTTTCAATGGCACTGCAGTGGTACAGTGGTGCTTCAAACTGGTGTGTCCAGTCGCTGCTGCAGTCCCGCCACGAGGGGAGAGAAACACAGGTTCTGTCCCCTTGTTTGTTACAGCTCCCCCGATCAGGTAAGTGCAAAAATCTTCATCATCACCTTCAGCAATAACAATCTTGTCATTTTTCTTCATCTTCGTCAGTGCCTGTGCCAATACTGCCCAATATTGAAGCATTGGCATCATAGACAGATCCAAGATCGGTATTCAGCAAGAGAATACATTCTGCTCCGAATCAGTGGCAGGTGTCAAGAGCAGTCATAAGGGCTTGTCAATCACAGTCACGCCTGCAATAAAAAAATAAAGAAATGAATCAGATAGATCATTAATAAAATCAGTTTCACATACAATAGGGTCAAAAAGTCTGAGAACAAATGGAAAATCTGTCATATTTCCTGTAATCCTGGAAATTATCTGAACCGCTGAGATTTAGAAACACTCATTCATTCCCACTGCCATTTCCATTCTGTGCTCAGGCCAGGGAGGCTGGACAGTAGATCTGGACGTCTTTCTTTGATGATAATAACTGGTGACAACAACGATGATGTTGCTTGAGACAATATTCACAAAGCTGTCACGTTTAGCTAACCATGTCAATTTGTGTTGTTATTCACATCAGGTTGTTGATATGTGGATCTTGTAATTGGGCACTTTATTTTAGTATACACTATATCAGATATCTTACGCTTTTTATATCAATTTCATGATTGGGAAGGTCAACCTGAGGCCACTGCTGGCATCAGAACTAAGTGAAAGTGTCAGAAGTTAGACTGTCGCGCTGATCAAAGAGGGGCTTCTCAGCATCAAATCAAATCACGGCTAGACTGAAGGTTTCAAAGGGGGCAGTGCATTGCACTCTGAAAAGCTTTGTGGAAACTGGATGAGTCATATCCAAAGCACGGAAAGAGACGGCACCATGAGAAGATCAATACATCAAACTTTGTTAAACTGAGAGACAGAAAAGCAGCTTCATCACCGATACAGAAATCTCTGCACAGTCATCCACGTCCTGGTAATCCTGAGAGGTTCAGTAGAAGGAACCTGCTCTTTTTTCAGGTCATGAAAACGCTTCGTCTGACCCAGAGGCTTTTTTTTTTTTTAGTTCTGACTGATGGGGAGTTGCAGATATTTATTGTTATCCCCAAATCACAGGGCTAACAGATCACTAACATTCCAAAACTAACATGTCTTGAAATGTGGATGGTTGTGACACTGCCAGGTCAGAGGAAGATCAAGGGGTCGATAGTGGTGAAATTTTCTGGAGAGGTCTCAAGACTGCATTGTAAGTATTGTCAGGATCATATATTTTATACATATATTTTTGATTCATGTTGTGATAATCTCATATTATTCTCTTAACCTGTTATTATAATCATAAGGCATAATCAACAAAACTTGTAAACAAATGCAGAATGAGAAAAAGTAGGTGGAAACAGGACTGGGTGGTTTGTGTATATCTTTCCCTGTCACAAGCAGGTATCTGCAGGAGGGAGGAACTGAAGGTGCTGAAGGTGCTCAACAGCTGGGTGCTGAGTGGCATGTTTCTGCACCCACGAGATGGTGGAAGAAGGCCCAAGGACACGGAGGAACCAATCAGCTAGCTGCAACACATGCAGTGCACATCCTCATGTAATAGTATAAAGTACACTGGATGAGGGAGAGGCAGTCAGTCAGACTTCGTGCCCTGACATTAACTCTGTTGATGCTGGGGTGAGCAATCTGATCCAGAGCTCTGTATGCTTATTCAACTATCTGCTAAATAAACACTTTGAGTAGAACCTAAATATCTTCTCCTATTGCTTCATTAAACGAATGCACAGGAGCTATCTCAACACATAGTTTGATTTCTGGTAGATTGGGATCCAGCTCCGACAGTAGAGCTGTAGTAGACCCACTACTCTGTTTAAAGAATGCATTTATGCAAAATCACCGAGTATACAGTCTAACTGGACAGAGAAGACAAATAGTTTTAGAGAGGAGTGTCTATATTACCGTCTAGATTAAACTGAAAAAGTCATTCTTTTTAAAAATGTATTTCCAGAACCAAAGCTCAGGTACCTTCTACTGGCTCTCTTAGGATCATTTATACTGAATTTTCTAAATAAAGCATGGGAGGAAAAACAATCGCAAAAATCCTGTCAAAAGCAGGCTGTTAGTCGCGGTCTCAGAGGACAAGTTGCATCTCTAAACCACCTCTCGGGAAGGGAAACGAGGCCAAACACTTGGCGTGAGTTGAGACATAGAAGCATTTCACAGTGGATCATGGAAAAGTCACATTTACTGATTAATTGCAGTTAGAGATTTGTAGCAGTAGCAGAAGGGTGTATGGAAAGAGACAAACTGGAGAAAGAATGATAGTACAGTGTGTTAAACCAAAAATGCAACATGATCATCAGAATATTTTTCTATATATAAGTCTGGGGCCGTTGTCCCACTCTAGAGTTGGACACCTGAACTGAATCAACTACATCCTCAGCAGGAAGAAGCAGCACTACATCCTTCAGAGACAGGCTCCTCTCTCTGGTTTGCATCTTTGCAGAGAAGGATTCCAACTGCAGCAGGATAACCACCCCAAACACACCTTCAAGCTTTGACTTAAGGACCAAAGAAGACCAAGGAGAGCTGACCGTCATGAAATTCCCTCCACCTTTACCTGACCTCGACCCCAATGACCATTTAAGGGGACACTTGAACTAAAAAGGCCAAACATTCCTGACATGCCATTAAGTGTTTTGGAGCAGTGTCACAACATGCTGGGACAACATGTGATCAGGTTTGACCAGACTTGAGCTGAATTAAAAGTAAGTGTGCAAGATTTATTTTACTGGCGTTAAATATTAAAATCAGCATCACAATTTTATTAGGATTATTGTTTAGAACTCTGAAATAAAGTATATTTCTCTCTCTGGTGAATCCATTAAAATGATCTAAATCCAAATACTTCAGTTGTTTTCATTTACCATTTGCCTGAAATTCTGGATTTGGAAAACAGCTTTTAATAACATGGTAAACGCTGTTATCAAATGATCCTAAAAAATACTGAATTACAGCCAAAAGCTTCACCTTTTGTCCTGATGAATAATAACTTCCACCTGAAATGTTTTTTCCTTCAAGAAATGCTCAAAGAAAAACTTAATTGTTTAAGATGTTAACTGTTAAAGAAATTCTTAAAATTGCACCTGCTGCCTCCGTTACTGAAAAGTTTAAGCATCTATGAACATGTATAGATATTTTTCACCTAAAAATGTCTTTCTCAGTGTTTGAGCAATGCACAGGGCAGGTTTTACTCCTCCTGCTGCAGGATCGATGTCACCAATCCTGCTTGCAGGCCTCTAACTCAGATTTTAGGTGAGTTCAGGTAAACTTTATATCTCCCCCCTCCAGACATTGTGCAGAGTGAAGGCCAAACATCCACAAGAAGCATCAATAACCAAATCTAACACTGTGCAGCTCAGTGTTGCGTACTGACCTGCATAACTGCGGCCTGTGCTCATGCAGGTCGGCAGTAGCGTCCACTTGTCAGAGTTTGGATTGTAGAACTCCACCGAGGCCAAATTGCAGCTGCCATCGTCTCCACCCACCACGTACAGTAAGTTGTTTACGGCACAAACACCTGAAAACACGGAGCGGTTATCGGAGGAACATCCCACGCCTGAGGATGTCTGGTGGACACCGTGCGTCTCGCTTACCTGCGTTACGTCGACACATGTTCATGTCGGCTACTTGTCGCCAGCTGTTGGAGGCTGGATCATAAACTTCACAGCTCTTCCTCACCAGGGGGCCATCGTGCCCGCCCACAGCATACAGTAAACCTTTTAACACACCTACACCTGAGTAACACACAGGACGCATGGTGAAAAAACAGCGAGGGCAAGAGCAGGTACATTTTCATCTTATTTTGAACATAGATTATTAGCACGACAAGCATCTTCTTAAAGATTTTGACAATGCTGTAACTATGAGTGGAAGCTTCAATGATAAATCTATGACAGAGGAAATCTGGAATCTTTCAGTTCACATTTCTCAAGCTTAAGGTCGCACACACACCTGCTCCACTGCGTCTCGTACCCATCTCTGCGATATAACTCCACGTGTTGCTTTTAGGATTGTAAGCTTCTACTGTACTTAAACATTGTCTGGTAGCGCCGTCATAACCTCCGACAGCATACAGGATCCCTGAAAGTACGAGTAAATCCATGAATTAGAAGGAGGTGCAGTGGTGGACAAAATAACAGAAATGCGTGAACACATAATATAGCAGACACTGAGGAAGAAGGAACTTATGTGACATAATACAAGATTTTCTAAAGTTGTATTTCTTGCAGGACTGCAGTATTATATTGTTGTGCATTTTTGTAAGTTTTCCCACATTTAACATCTTTTTCTGAACATGGACTTGGAAAAACAAACTCACCATTGACAACACCCACTCCTACACTGCTGCGTCGGGTGCTCATGGGTAACACATGGAACCACTCGTCTGTCTTAGCGTTGTACGCCTCGACTGTGGACAAACCTGCAAACACACACACACACACGCGCGCACACAGTACGTATTAAAAACACCATGAACTGTCAGATAGTTTAGAATTTGCTGTGGTTAAACTCATTTTTAAAGCCTCTTTAAACCTGAAACTTTGAGGTCACAATCATGCAAAAACACAGCGGTACCTGTGCTGCCATCAAAGCCTCCGACAGCGTACAGGAGTCCATTGAGAACAGCAGCCCCGAGCGTCGACCGGCGGTCCTGCATGCTGCTCACGCTCGTCCATCGGTCCATCATCGGGTCGTAGCAGTCCACCGTCCGCACGCGCAAAGAACCGTTGAAACCGCCCACCGCATACACACACCCACTCACGTACACCACACCTGAAGAGCAACACAAAGTTGAAACCGACCTGCTGCAGTGAAGATGAACGAGCAAACTAGGGCTCAGAGCAGAGAAAGAGATCTTTATTGAGGACAGCAGCGCAGATGGAAGCTTTCTGTTAAACTATACAGCTTTAGACCCTGAAGAAGACGGAGTCCACAGTTGCTGATATCATGACTTTGTAATCAAACTTGTAGTTGCCTCTGCTCTCAAAGTACTTACACATTTAAAAATACACATGCATTTTAACAAGGGCAATAAGTTGCAGAAGGAAAATGAGGCTTTAGCTACTATGTCCAGCTGTAGGGATGACTAAAAGAGCAAGTGGACCACGATTTAGTGCAGAACTTAAAAGTGAACCAAAGTTTAGTGCAAAATACAGTAATTAACAATACATACAGAGTTACTGACACCTCATATGTGACCCATCTGCACGAAATCAGTCGCATTGCGCCTGACGGTATTGGACAGCGATATGGAGCGCAATATTATATGTTACCTACATGTAGAAAACAACTAAATGGACCGATCTAAGTAATGAACCCAAAAGCAGGTGAACAATAGAGAATTGAACACATTTAATAATAACTGATTTCAATGTTTGTGTAAGTTCTGGATCGGCCTCAGTGATTTTCTCTGCAGTGCCGATTCTGTCTGTCTCTTTCCTTTTTGTTGGACTACTGTTGTCAAAAGTCAGATTGGAACCCACATCTCCAGGGGAGACTGTTTTGTTTATTGTTTATTGGACAAATCCTGGTTATAAATCTAAAGTTTTATTACTGACAAGCTGACGAGGACCAACTGAATGCACCATTAGTTTAGTAATCCCAAACTGTCTCTGTAGGGTGAAGCTGTGGCCTGCGGTCCTCTGTTGCAATAATCCTTCACATCATTTGGAGGAAATGGCCCTTTAATTGTAGGGTTTCTTATTGTCATTGAGGGTTTCCTACCTGCTCTGCACCTCCTGGTTGGGAGCTCAGCCACCTGGTACCACCGCTGCTCCTCAAAGTCATAACACTCAACACTCCGGATGGCCTTGGGAGCCTGACCTCCAACCACCACCATCACCTAACCACGGCAGAAACAGCGGCGCGATTACAAGCAGAACTGTAGATCATTTATTGTTTGTAAGTGCTTTATGAGTAAGACGTCATCTGTTCCGCTCTGGAGACGCTCGGTGTTGACTATGTTTGTACCTTTGGACAGCAGGCTGGAGTCCTCATGCGTGTGCGTGCGGTCTTCATCAGAGCTCTCTGATCAGCTGGCAGCAGGTGGTACTTCATGGCCTCAATCAGATAGTCTTTACATGCGCTGCTATTCTTAATCAGAGACTCCTCCTCCACCCGCTGATACGAGCAAACAGTGAGAGGAACAAGTCAGCCTGCAGGACTGCTGCAGTATATGAAGATAAACTGGAAGTTAATGTTTCTGAGGCACATATTGGTTGTCTTTAAAGTCACTGGAACACTGTTCATAGTAGAAATTTAATATTTTGCTTTTTTTAAATAACAGAATATTCAACAAATTGTGTTTTTTCTGAAAAACATGAAATGTTGAACCACCTCAGTTGTCATAGGCACAAATTTTTCTCTAAAAGGATCAAATGTCACTAATATCGACTTCTCGTTAAAGATCACGTAAAAAAAAAAACATTCACAGCAAAAGAATGACAGCATGTATCCTCATCCAAGAGATGTTAACATTCAACTTACCTCTGCAGACCTACATGACAACAATAAAAAATGTTTGTTTTCCTGCATCACAAACAAAACAAAAGTAGGAAATGACTGAAGCACTGCAAGTCAAGTCAGCTGTCTGGTTACCAGTGAAACCGCCAACACACAATCAGAACCTTCCCGTCATAACCACCTGTTGTTCCACTTGCGTTGCTCTGCTTCCTTGTATCGAGGTGTTTGATCTAATTACATACACCATAATCAGGAAGTGATTAAATGTTAAAATCCTGCTTCAAATACACCCTGATGAGTTTGGTTCTGTTGTAATGTGTGTGAGAGTGTAAACTTTAAATGACATCTTGTGCTTTACCTCCATTGTTTAATTCTTTACATGTCAATATGTTATTGTGGATGCCTATGTACCACATAATCAATATTTAATATTAAATGTACTATATTCACTTTGCAAAGGCTTCTTTGTTGGTTTTTTGCATATATTTTCTTTTCAAATGTTCCTTTAATCACTGTACAATGGATGACAGTAAACGTCACAAATGCATCTTTGAATTTTGGGAACAGGTAATATTGTCCCTCAACCTACTGTAAATTGCATCAGAGTACCAGTGAAACAGCGACAGTTAAAAGTACATATACCTGTCAGAGATTCCTTTTTGGTTGTCAAGTCCATATGGGAAAAGGAAGTTCTATTACTGAGCCTCAAAAACCACCAGGTGAGCCAGAATATATGCCCAGAACGTTTGCCTCATTTTCTGTCATTATATATCATTAATACAACATAATGTGAAACACTGATGTTAAAATGCACATTTTGGCTGTTTCTCTCTCTCTCTCTCTCTTTTTTTTTTTTAAACGTCCACTCTGGAAGCAGCACCAAAAAGCTAAAACAAACCCCAACACATTTCCTGTAAGCCAGATACAAATCTGCATGTCACCTGGAGATATGCTGCTAAATACATAACAGAGACATTAAACTGTCCTGATCTGTTGAAACAAGGATGACACAGCAATCACAGCTGTTCGGTGGTAAAACTAAGATGTGATTTGGTCGCAGAGAAGAGGCAAACTCAAGTTTTCCTCTGAACAACATACAGTCTTTGGCGTTTTGTTGCTTAACTTTCAACTCAACAGCCTGCCATCAATAAAAAAAAAAACAACACATGAAACATGCACGTTCAGCCAAACATACCTGCACCAGGTATTCTCTGGAGAGGAGCGGCAGGCGGACGTGTTCCATCAGGTGAGCCAAGTGTTCCTGGCGGACGTCTTTATCGTGGTTGACCCAAGCTATAACCGCTTCAAACACCTACAGTACAAAAAGCACACAAGTACAATTGCACAGTTATTTGGTTGTCCCGTCATGCCTGTGTGTAATGAGCAGGATGACAGTGTGTACCTTCTCCTCTGTAGGGATGGTGAGCTTGTCGCTGGCGATCAGGCTGGACACTTGCTCCATGCCCAGATTGAGAAACTCTTCACTCCCAACCACCTCAGGGAAATGTTGCTCTGTCAGCACAAACATAGTGCAACTACCACTTTATAGCAGCAGAGACGCGACCATTTTCAATATCCCTGCATGTTCATTAATTACACCTGTTCTCATTCTGTCTGATCCTCTGCCCTACATCCTTAATTTTAATAAAGCGGCACACATGCACATGTACGTGAGCAGAGTTTTGCACACGGACCTGCGTAGCTGTTGGCCTGTGCGAGGAGCTGAGAGCAGGCGTGTAGGTCAGCGAAGGCTCGTATTCCCAGACAGTTGGACGGATGAAGTTGAGAGCTCAGGAACTCACAACAAGCCTTTTTCACCTCATTCAGCTGGAGCAGTCCTGCAGCAGGCAACAGCGCCTGAGAAAATGAAAACACT